AAATCAATAGAACAAACTTAAGATGTAATCACAGTTATTAGTTACATATTTTTAATAGGATTGATTGTTTGTATACCTAGTATTACTGCTAATTATAATATTTTATAATAACACGATGATGTACTAATAATTAATATAGTAATAAACTCACTACTCATAATATGATAGATACCAATGAATTTGCTGTGTATTTATTATTATTATTACTTTTTAACAAAAAGTTCTGCTTAAAGAACTRAATGCTATTACTTTTGTTCTCCGAATTTGGACTTGAACTTTCTCTAATAATTTAACACTTATTTTGGGATCTCCCCAGCATTCTRATGCCTGCTGCATTCATTAAATAATATATTTTTAATTTTCGCTTTCGTAATTCTAGCAACATTTTAAATTTAAATAAACTTATTTGATTAATATATTTTTTAAATTTTTAGATACATTTGTATTTATTCATATTCTATTGTGACTCATAAATGTACATTAATAGATACCTACAGAAACTATTATTAACACTAAATGAGAAGAATTATTCTCATTTAATACTTAATACTTTTTCATTAATCATAATTTATAAGTTATAACTAATTACATGCAATATATCCATGTTTTCAATATTAAATGACCTTAAAATAATATTATTTATCACTGTTTATTTTATTGTTATTAACATGACGAAAAAACTAAGATAGCATGACGCGTGCATTATAATTGTAACAATATGCATTATATATTAATTTCGTGACGGTCATTATTATATGTATATAGTTTTTTTTGTTAGGACTTTGGTACGAATAAAAAAAAAATAGAATTATCTATTCCACCTTAATCATAATAGTTGCAAATTCATGCGTGCAGGGTCACTATTGTTGGTCCTCTGTTAACCTACATCGAAATATAATTACTATTATTTTTAGTCATTATATAAATTATATACACAAACATAATTTTCGTGATTTTTGTATTAACACATAGACATATTAAAACATAATATCCAACAATAGTCGTTGTAGAAGGTTTACGTATACTGAATAGATATAAATTGTTATAATATATATTATATATATATGTAGGTACCTATTACATAAATCAGAATATAATATGATATGAAGTCTTGTGGTTTATATTTTTCGCTTGGAGTGATGCTGATGACTAGGTAATGTAAAGAGTAATAATTATTTTAAGTGGCTGTCTATTTTTTCATTTTTGTTACGATAAAATTACTGCACTGATGTTTAGTATATTATACCTATACCTATGCCCGTGGACTTAGCCTAAAAACACCATGCCCCAAGCGCCCTAACGTGCAGCGTGACGTACACACAGCATATTATCTACACGTATACATAATATTACTATATTAGAACCAAATACATAACTATATAGGTATATACCATACAACGGGTCATTGGCAGCGTGGCGAGCATCCATATAATATTATTATAATTTATAGTATAAATAATAATTATTATTTTGGAATAGAGCATCGTGGACACAATCGTTTTCGTGTGTTATATTAATTGAAATAATACATTATTGACGCATATTATCTGTTTTACATATTATATTATGATGATGTTTTTTAATGTATGCAATATTACATGTTATATATGTACGTATACTGTATAGTGGCGTTATACGCGTCAATGATCCGAACGTTTATTCTAGCCTCTTAATATATGCACAGCTATTTGTATAATGCTAATCATTTAACTCAAACGTTTAATAAACACATTTAAAAAATACTAAACAYGGCCATATATTAGGGTATTGGGCATATTATAATAGTATATACATAATATTATATATTTATATACTATTGGCCGGCGGCTACCCATCTCGAAAGTTGCATAAACATTGTGTATTTGCTAATTGTGTTAATACTTATTAATTTATTATTTTTTTTATTATTATTGCATTTTTGTTAAATATGATATTTATGCTTATAAAAAACGAACATTAGGGATATACCAATACGATCATTATCATACCTAACATACACGTATTGTTATATTAATTATATCATATGATTATTTAATTTATTAATTATGTTTTATGTTTTATTTTTTTTTATATACAATTACAGTTACAATTTTTTTTTTTTTTKAGAATATACTTTTTTAATAAAACCAATATAACAGTATAATGATTATTTTATTAACTGTGCTTTTGATAGTTTTAACGCATGTTCAATAATATTTTTAATATTAATTTCTACGCTCATAATTACTATGCAATATGTTCCAATGATTATTTAAAAAAAAAWATATTTTTTCGTATGTTACAGCTACTTCGATAACGGGTTGGAAACCATCTACAGTAGATGTGGTTGCTAGCTGTAGGTTAACGAGTAGCATTACCACCTCCACAGATGCAATCAGGTAGGTACTAATATATATTTTATAYACTATTAAACATCTTACACGTCTTGATGTCTTATATACTATATAGTATATGTATGTGTCTCAATGTCATTTGACTTTTTAACAGTAGTACATCACTGCATCTGCGTGCATCGTCTATGTAAGGCGGTATCTTTATATATTATTATGTTGATTTTATTTTAAGTAGAATGTGTAGTGGTCATTGGGTGAACGGGTGGTAGCACTTTGTGTAATAGGTACATTTTAATATATATATTGACAAGTTTAATTCATTAAAACCAGTAATACGTGTATTATTAGCGCTTTTCTAAAACATGTTTATGAGAAAGTTATTATGCAAAGACGCACTCTTAATATTTCTGATGTATGGTTTTTTTGAATTTCTATATGACTATATATATATATATAATATGATAAAACCGTTGACTATTCTTCTATAGCTATGTATGTCGTAAATAACTTTAATGTCTTTAAACAAAAATATCGACCTTGAATCTGAAACTCTTTCGATGTCATATATGTATTATTAATAACACGTATCTACGTAAAAGTACTATATAGTATAAAATATGTATCATAGTTTATTAGTGTCAGTACTAATCCAGAAGTAAATCAAGTGGGAAGAGGTGGTGATTTTGTGCCTTGGATCAAAATTCAAAATTATCCCTAAAGAGAAATGAAGACCRACATCTCGCCTGCATCTGATATTTGTCTTACAAACATTCAACAAATAGCAGCGTAGTAAATATTTATAACTTTGCCTTAATGTTGTTAATTTATTTATTATTTAACTTAAAAGTTAAAGTTAGTATATTATCTATTTATCTATGTTTGAACGGGAGATTTTTATGATATTTATTGAATCAACCCAATGATTGATTGCCCCACAAATTATACTAATCTGGWATATAATGTTATAATAATAATATACTTTTTGCGTTAGATGCATAGGTGAATATCGGCGGGTGAGAGGATTAAGAGACCAAAATTCCCAAAAAATAAAATAAACATACCTACTAATTATTTGAAATCTAAAATAAATGTACATCAAATTATCATTTACATTAAATAATTTGTTTAGATTCTCGATAAATAGATCTGTTGGTTTTACAATGATATTTATTTATTTTTTATTTTTCCACATGTTTTTGGGCGAGTATACTGGTCCAAAGATCGGTCTATACCTGTTTTGAAATCAAAAATCACTCACCTTGATATACTTTAGAGCCTTAGAGGTAATTTTTAGAAATTCTCATAGTTTTTTTCAAAAATTTGGGAAATATCTATTAAATAAATATAGTACTACACTTATAATCTTCTATTATAGACTATTTTTAAAATATTGAAACGGTAAGATAGATGAGAATGTAGGACGTAGGTACATAATCAAACGTGAATATCAAAATTCAAATGCTAACCATTCGTTTTAGATTCTTAGTAGAGGTTTTATAGTGATATGTTTTTCTTTTTTTTTTCTGTTTGTCATTACATTTATGTACAGAGCATTCGTTTTAATCATCAACATTAGAGTTTTTTTAAAAATATTTTTGCCTTTGGATTCTATTTTATAACAATTAGAAATACTCATAAACAAAACCATAAAAACAAGAATATTTACTCAACACCAGTGTTTGACAAAATCAATAGTTTCTAAATAAAAAAGCTTCTACATATTAAATTTAATATAATAGCTCAAAAAGTTAAAAATCTTACAGTGGTTGAAAATATCGAAGATAAATSGTCACATTTTTGATTTTATAAACTTTTGATGAAGTTTAATTTTCGTTAAAATTAGATATTTAACGTTTAAATGAGAGTTTTCCTATATACATTTTAATTGCTTTAGAATTTAAAAAATATTAATTGTAGAATTAAAATTTTTTCATTACGTATTAAACATAAGTTTCTAAAGACTATGCAAATTTCAAAATATCTTGACTAATTTAAGCTATTTATTTCATTTACCCTATTTATATCATTATAAGGTACATCGGATATTGACTTTTAGTTGAATTTTTTTGCATATACGATATATAAATGGCAATTGACTTATAACTTATATAGGCTATACGCCTATAAATCTATGCGATGTTTTTGGTAAAAATTCGTCCAATCTACCGAATTCAAATATTAAATAAATCCCCATGATAATATAAATATATTTCAATATACACAAACTTTCTTTTAAAAAAGATGTTGTTCCACCCGTCTTCTTCACTCAGAATCGTTTTTTGTATACGATGAATTATCATTTAATTCAAATTTTATACATCCATTATAGTTGCAGGTATGTAATTTAAATTTTTCTGGGTAACTTATACCTATATTTAATGGCAAGATACACTCAAAACATATACCATAAGGCTTAACGAGTTTCGTGTTTTTATTTTATTAATAAATATATATGCGTGTCGGTTCTCCCCTTCTTCTACGCTACCCAGTACCCACCTGGAGTATCCTATCGCTTCTCACCACCCCGTGTATCTACATCATATTATTATTGTTATACTGACATGCGCATAAAAGGTTATAAGGGTAGTAACCATACACTATATAGCTCATCGTCAAGGCAGCGCGCACAGCACAGTACCGTTTCGATGTCTGAAACGTAACGATGTGCCAGGGCCTACGATGATAACGTCCGAATTTTTTCAATCCRATTCTAAAATCAATTTATAATATTTATATTTAATACCACATCATTCATTCGTTTATTCCTTATGTTTACCGCGTGATCTCAATCGACTCATACATTTATTTTGATTTATTTTAATTGATATCGACTGTACCATAATACAACATAATAAATACCTACCTACTATCAAGCGGGGTTCCATAAGAAATCGACGTGTACAAATCGAAAATTTGTACGAACTTCATCGATATTGATCGACGATCGTTTAAAAGTGTTTTGATGGTTAAAAAATCGCATGCACCTTCTTACATTAGTATGTGACTATCGCACATGTGCATTTGGCTGCCAACTATCAAAACGGGCATTATAGCGTCACGCCTCATTAGCGCCCAAATAACGTAAGTGAAATCCATTGTCGTGTGTATTTTATATATTATACTATAGTCATTAGAAATGCATTATTTCGATAAAAACTAACGTCAGTTACAAACCACAGTGAATTATTATATTTTTAGCAATTGGAATAGAGAAATGGGTTTAAAAGTAATTTATTTGGATAACCACCTACCTATGTCTACTCAAAATTATAAAACGACTTTAAACGATCATATTAAATTACTGAAAAATGACAATAAACTTGGTATCATAATATTAAATGAGGCATAAATTGAACGTGACTCGCGTGCTGTTTATAGGCTGTATTGTACATATTCTACAGATAGTATACGGTTATATGCGTATCTCATGGATAATATAGTAATACATACCTTTGCAAAGCGTTATTTGGGAAAATCAAAAATTCATATGATTGCATTAGGTAATGGCCTAGCATTTTACTATTTATGTTGTAATCATATATGGCGTCAATAAAAAAGTCTTCTTTATAATATGAATTATTACTTTCTAGATCTATTGATGTCTGATTCTGAATTTAATATTTTAAATAATTCGTGTTCGTAGAAATACCGTATAATTAAATTCGTATTATAATATATACATTATAGTTTATATTTGAATTTAGTTCTTATTTGTACACCTATAGGCTATAATATATGTCGTTTTTGAATAATATTCTAAATTAAATATATCTCATTTTATATATATTTTAAACACTCAATTTTAAAGTTGTTTAAAATGCAATCAGAAGCTTATGTTTTTATTTTGATATGAATGAATTGRAAATTTCGATATGATGATTATAAACATTAATCAACACAAAATCAAAACTATCTGTCTGATCAAATCCACGTTAATTCAGCCTTCAGGTGTCTCTTAAAGATAGATTTAATATTGATCTCCTACGTTGAAAAACTATTATTGGATTTTTATCAAGTAAATTCAAATTATATTATAAAATTATGTATAGCACGATTTAAAAAAATTTGATACYGCACTGATCACTATAGATATAATATGTCGCTGCATAACAATTTATATCAGAGTTCTGAATTTTGTATCCAAATTTGTGGTCTTGTGAATTGTGAGTTGTGACGGTCGTAATTCTTACATATACCATTTTCATACATGCCCTGTTATAATTTAAAAAGTAAATTTTGAGTACCTACAAAAAGTACAGAGTATTTCCCAATTCTGACTGCCAAGAAATCATAATAGTTTTTTTCGCAAAAATCATGTTTTATAAAAACTTTAAGTTATTAAAATGTATATAGAATAGTGGGTTAGATAGTGATGAGTGTTTGTTGTTGAAATAGAACCGTCCAGTACCTACACTCAACTAGAGTAGTCCTATATAGTATATATGGTAAACGACACCCAATTCAGAGCCACATTAACAACAAATAAATCGTCAAAATAATTTTTTATTTGTTCGTTTTACAGTAGACATGCGGCAGTGTCAGTGGACGCGAATCCGTCGGCATCACCTGCAGAGAGACCGACGACCGCCGCCGCCACCGCCACATCTACCGCTGTGGTCGGGGACACTCAGCAACAGCAGCAGGAGCAATGCACCTCGGTGGCGGTAACCCTAAACGATCGCCACCAGTGCGATTCGGAGCAATCGGTGGTGACCACCGATGCGACTGCTGACAGCCCGCGAGATTCACAAGGGGTAACCTGCAACAAGACTGAATCTGCGACGACGACGACAGCGGCGACGTCCTTGTCGCGACCGATATGTCCGAACTTGCCCTACTCGCCTGCGTGTTCGCCGCGGTTCGCCAGACGTCGACCGCCGTTGCGCGAGTGCCGTGTGTCCGTCAACGTGCAGAGCTTGGACGATCCGAATGCTCATCAAAAGCTCAACCAGTACAAACTGATCGATTCCATAGGACAGGTATACATTGTACAGCCAAATCAATATACTTAAGCTGCAGCGAACGGTTTTATATTAATTTTTACTCATTAGTCATTAGTCATGGATAATCCAGACACAAGGTATAATTTTCAATTATATATATATATAATATATGTATTATGTATGCATAATATTAGTACTTGTATAATAATTGTATATTTCCGGTTAAATAACTTGTCGAAATTCCAAAATGTATATCAATAATATTGTTTGAATTTCTTTTGAATACGTATACAGTTTTCATATAGCTTAATAATTATTGCTTGGCAAATTTCCAATTATAAAGCAATATAGCTACCAGCCACCAGGTAGTAGGTGTCTGTTGTGAGATTCTTTTATATTCGCAAATTTTAAGTGATCCATATAAACCAAAAAACCTGTCACGTTTTTTAGATTATTAGCGCAGCGAGAAATGTATTGGTTTTACAATGATGTTTATTTATTTTTATTTTTTATTCTGTAAACACTTTTTCTCCCTCTAAACTTGTTCAAAAGTTCAAATTTTGACTAAATACGTAAAAATTACGACAATGTTCATATTATCTTAGATAGAAATTCATAAAAGTTTTTCTTTTTAAATCTAAAATTTGAAAATTTAATACAAGGCTCTTAATATATTTCTACAATATCAGTTGAAAAATAAATAAATACATGGTCACTATTTTTTTTTACAAGTATTTAAAGTTTTTAATTACCTATAAACCGTCTCCGCTCAGAATCGTTTTTCGTATACAATGATATAATATCATTGGATTAAAATTTAATTCCACCTATTACAGTAACCCACTTGTAACCTACTGTACAGCAGAGCGACATTCACGACTTACCCGTTTTTTAAATTCCAATTTATGTTTGATTTTTTGGTTTATTCACTACTTCTTCACAAAAATAACACATAAATCACCAATAAACAAATAACTCTTTTAACAGTCCCTAAAATATCATGTCAGAATTTTTTTTTTTATTTAAAAATTATTTAAGCATTATGTGAGCAGTTTTAATCAAGGTTTCAATTTATAATTAATACATATCTAAATTCCATATTAATAATAATTCTTACCAGTTGAATGAAATATATAATTGATTAGATTCATTATATTGTAAAATAAAATAAAATTAGGTAATTTGTTTATTAATTTCTACTAAAAACGCCATAATAGAAGTTTGAAAATAATCTCCTATGATGTTTTCTCTTTTGTTTTGTTGGGGCAATAAACTTTATGTACGTCAGAGGTCTATACATTTTTGATCATGAAATTTATGTTTTTGTGAATTATTCATCATATGTTGCCACAAATGGAAGAAGAAGTATTTTCCCGTTAGAATTTATAATCATTTGAAACATTAATGTCATCATGAATTGAAAATTATTGTTTATTTATATAGTATGATATTCCTCATGTAGCACATTTTAAACACATTTCAATAAATAGTATACAATTGTGTACAACTTTTAAAAGACCGTATTAATTTAACACAATATTATGTACCTGCCATAATTGAATTTACTAAATTGACATTGATCGAGTAATTTTTTTCAATAGTACCTTCCGTCAATTTTTTACCGATTTTAAGATATTTTTATTATGATTTGTTTCCATACATTTTTTTTTTTTTGTATTTTTATTAAATGTAAATAAGTCTTTGATCTAATTAACATACTACCGAATAACTGTTTAATGCTTAATAACTATTTCGAAATCTGATAACCGGATATCCGGTAAACAGAAAATATATTTATTTTTTTTAATATCACCTTTGATAACACTCTTGTATGCACATTATACAAGCAATCACATTTATATTGAAATGAATCACATAAAAATTAATTCTGAACAATAAAACTATTTGAACGAAATAAAAGTAAAATATAACACATTTTCTTTGATCGATTTAAAATAGGTATAATAACAATGTTGTTTTTGCATGTCTTCTAAATTGCTTTCATAATGTCGAATTGTCGAGTTCATGACGTTTGTATACTTTAAAAGTTAAAACTAATTTTACAGACAATACAAATACACAAAATATTCATCATTTATATTTTGTTTGGTGTATTTAAAATTTGAATTCAAATTATTTTTGTTTTAAACATTATTTAATAAATACAATTTAAGATTTTATTATAAAATGAAACCATTTCAACACATATATTAGGTATCAATGTAAATACCTATATGAATTTTATATATACTAATACAATATGTTTATTAATTATTSTTTTATCTGTTTAGGGATCTTATGGACTTGTTAAATTGGCGTATAATGAACTAGATGACAAACATTACGTAAGTACTAATAATTAATATAATATTATTTAAACATTTTTGTATAATTTTCACAGAAAAATATTAGATCGTTAGATAAATGTATAATCAAAGCGACAAAGGATCAGCTACTAATTTAGTTTCCAATGTAAACATTTTTTATTATTATTTCAATTAGGTAAAATAATTAGGATTTAGGATATATTGACTAAAATCTCGACTCAAGATCATTATTTATTGGATGACATTATAATTTACTCTAATAGGTATTAAAAGCATCCAGATGGAATTAATATGAAATGTATATAATCGAGAACAAGTTAATTAAACAGAAGATTCCACAGTAAATCGTTTTTGTAATTTTGTCCATTAACTATGTTAAATATAATACCACAATAAATCAACCTGTAAAAAAAAAATATTTTGAATTTACATAAATTATTTTATCAAGCTTGACAAATAAAATAATTATTATTTTACGAGTAATAATATTAATAAATCATATTATATTTTTAATCCATAAAATTATTTTTGTTTTTAATTTCGTGTTTAAAAATTAAAAATTATAATTTTGGTTATTTTGAAACTCAGATTTAAATATAAAACATTAATAAAGAGGTTCCTTTGAGGATTTAAGCAAAATTATTTTTTATATATTATATTCATTTTACAATTAAATTCTTATAAAATGCTTAGAAATACAAGTAAATATTATATAGCTATAACTTATAAGTATCATATAGGTAGGTAGTATTATAGGTAGTATTGTTTATCTGAAAATTTGAAGATTTTGTTGTGATTAAAGAACTTAAAAAAAATGTTTTAATATATATATTTTTAAACATATTTAAAAAAGACTTTTTGTCAGAAACAAATGAGTTTTTAGGTATAAAAATGAATACGTAACTGTAGTAAGTGATGACTGTAAATCAATAATTTTTGTTTATGTTAGCATATTATAGTATAGCAGATTAGCACTTAAGAATTTATATTGTAGAAGATTTAATTCATTATATATATACAAACATATTATTTAATAGCCTGTAGATTGTTATTCATATTTTCCATACATTTTAACATTTTTATACATCTAGTATCTATTGTCAATAGAAAAGTGAACAAGACTCAAGTTAAATTAATGTCAACATATTATGTTTAACTGAAACTTTGATGAAGAAGGCTAATTTAAATATATGTGAAAGGGGCTATTAGTCTCATACTCTCATGTGTCCTCGTTTATTAAGCACAACTGTGTCTATTTGTAAATTTCTTTACATAACTTTGATATTTATTTAATTTTTTTAGGCTATGAAAATATTATCTAAGAAAAAATTAATGAAAAAGGCTGGCTGTTTTGGTAAGTTTATTTTCGTTAAATATAATACATAAATAATAAATATTAATAAATAAACCATGATATTTTTTAAATTTATTTTTAATAGTATGTTTATTTTAAACATAAATTTCTTTCATAATAATGTTGTATCTATTGAATTATTAGTGATATTATAATTTATAATAGGTAATCCGTAAAAAGGTACCGAAATAAAGGTAATCGAGATAACCTGAAAGTACTGTTATACATCATTATCGTGTTAATATGACAACATATATTACTAAAAAATAATAAAATAATATTATATCTATATATTATACACATTGGCCGTATTTTTATATTTATAGGTCATACAATTTAGGACTGCTGTTCACAAATTTATTTAAAAATGTTATTTTTAGTCATAAACTTTAATCAAAAAAAAAAAAAAAAAAAATGAATTTAATATCGATGAAATCTTGTATAGTCTTATTAATCATTGTTGTGAGCAATACATTTGGATGAATACAAAAAATAAAAAAAAAAAAAAAATAGATATGTCCATAAGCAATATTTACATTGATTTTCATATACATACAATATACTGTAACTTGTAAGAGATCTATTAGGTAACTGTTGTTACCAAAAGATTTAAAATCTTTAATACACATAGCGTATTCTTCTGATACCTAATTAGGTATAATTAATAATATGCTGTCACTGTCAAAATTCTAGTTTTCCAAATTTATGAAATATTTAATGAAAAATTTAAAAATATGTATAGCGATATAGGTAGGTACTATTATGTGATATTTTTTTTTATAGATTAAAATATTGAATATGTAATATTATTACATTTAAATAATTTTAAACTATTAAGTTATAAATTAAAATTACATCAAAGCATGATAATATAATGTATTTGTATGTTTATGATTTTATATCTCTCGTTTTTTATTATTTATAACTATTTACTATAACCATAAACTATTATGATATAGTAAAACACGCAAATACCATATTATAATTTATAATGATTTCATGTACCTAATGTTTGAATTTTGTAAACAAAATTTTAAAATTATTAAAATATCTCAACTTTTGTTTTATTATGCTGTGTATAATACACAGACAAATACACAATATAACTAAGTACTAAATGTTTGCCCAATCATAATATTTTCATCGTTGTTATTTTTCTTTGTAAGTAAACTACATAATAATATATATTTACTATTTGCACGAACTATATTATACTTTTAATGTACACTTTACAATTTACTACGTTAATTATAAACTATTATGTTTTGTTTAGATAACCTTTTTGTGTATAGTTTTGTTCATTATTAAGTGAAGCGCAATAATATGTATTCAAGTATTCCCTTAGAGTTCAGTTGATATACTCCAATTATATACATATATATATATATATATATATATATATTATGCTCTTGACCAAAATCGATAGTTTAGTTCTGATGAAAATGTTCATACACGCAGAAAAACGTTTATACTTTTAATTAAGGTTCAACGATAAAAGATAATTTAAATTATATCATCTTCTAAAATAATGATTTTATTTATCATATGCAGTAAAGGTACATTACTTTAACATTGAAAACTCTATGCTAAAACTTATGCTGAAAAGTATTTTGAATATGTATGTTAGTAGAAATATGGAGCTAATTATAATATTAAATGGCCTTATGAAGAATAAAGTCACTTCAGCTTTAATTTATACTATGATTTTACCATACTATAAGTATACAACAATTTATTAGTAAATATAGGTAAGTGTTATTAATATACAACTTATAATTGTTAAATATTATAACTGCCTGATTGTATAAAAGACCTTTAGACATTTATACCAGGCCGTTATCGGTTTTAATGAATTAAAAAATTTCGTGACATAAACGATCTTTAAATATTTAAGAGCCCGTTAAATTTTAGATTAACAGCAGTGAACAGTCCATTAGTTAATTCCTCGATATCGGGTCACTAAATTTTAAAGACTCGTTAAAATGTGTTATCAGGAATTAAATAAATTAAATAACAGCTGTTAATAAGTATTTTTTAAATATTAAATATGATTACAGAATTCTTAGAGAATTTGAGAATTTGTATTGCAAATTGCAATAAATACTGATTTGACGATCTATGAACAGTTAGCTAATCATTTGTTATAACAAAAATAGACATTTATCACTTAATTAATGACTTTTATGCAACCAGACATTCGTATTAATTATTCACTAGCAGATCAAATACTCATAAACCATGGGTAATATAATAGAATAAAACATTTTATGTGATTTTTCCATAACCTAAAAAGTATTTTACGTTATTATATAGTTGTTGTATATACTATTATAGTATTATATATATATATTCAATGTAATAAACAATAATAATATGGACTGTAAATGTTGTGCTATGGTTAAATCCTCGGAGAAAAACAGTTACTTATTAGATGTTAAGATTTCTTATTTAAAATAATTTATTTTAGAAAAAAAAAATAAGTATTATTTAATTTTCAATTCACAGTTTTATCATATTATTATTTATTATTATTTATTACTATATTAAATCTATTATAGGAAGACTAAACGCCAGACGTAAAGGGGCCAATCCTTTAGACAAAGTCTACAGAGAAATAGCTTTGTTGAAGAAACTTGATCATCCTAATGTAGTGAAACTAGTCGAAGTTTTAGAGGATCCAGATGAGGATCATCTTTATTTAGGTAAATATTTCAATATATTTTATTAAATATATTTTACTAATGTTTAAGATTCTGAGCAGAGCAATAAATGTATTGGTTTTAGTGATTTTACAATGACGTGTGTGTGTGTTTTTTTATTATTATTTTCTGTATCGCGTTTTGGAGCAATAAAAATAGATTCACTTCAATATAGTTTCTATAGAAGGAAATTTAATCTAGTTGATACTTCAAAGATTAAAAGCAATTTACCAGTGGTTTTTAAAATCCCCAGGAAAATTTGCCCATGAGATTTTTAAGGAAACCAATTTTCGAAAAAAATCGATTTTATTTTTTAGTGTAACTAAAAATGATTATTTGTAGAAACATGAAATATTCACCATATATTTAAATTTACATTTTATATATAATAAAAAATAATTTTGACTTTTTTAACTATTTATAGTCATAAGAAAATTGTATAATTTTTTTTTTAATCGATTTGTCAAAAAACTCGAAAATATAATATAATATAGGTTAAAAAAAAATTGAGCGTAAATCCATAGTAGTTTCTTGTAATTGGTAACTATAATGTGTGGTGTTAAAATTCTAACGAAATTTGTAAAAACCACAAAAATTAAAGTACCATAAATGTAGATAGGTATACCTAAGATGTTTTTTTTATATATTTCTAAGATTTGAAACTTTAATAAAATATTATCATAAGTTTTTCTATATTTTCCAAAAAAAATTTACCAGACAGTCAAATACATTTTTTATGAAGGTTAGTATTTATAGATATTAGATTCACCAGTAATTTAACAAATCCTAATTGAACGATTTTCTTATTTTGTTGTAATTCAAAATTTATCAACTGTAGTCACTTGAAATGTTTATCAAATGTTTTTTTTTTATCATTTTCTATATATTTTAAAATATTCAAGATATTTTGATTCGTTTTAAGCTAATTATAGACATTTGAAATTTTAAATATTTTTAGTCTTTTTTCTATAAATTTATATGAATAAGAAAATTTCGTTGGGTCGAGTAAGTTTCTTCATAAATAGTTAAAATACTATTTGAGAAATATTAATGAACAATAAGCACGGTTTTTTTATAATTTAAAATTCAAATTTTGTCAAGGCTTATAAAGATATCAAGAGTTATCAATTTATCAAATTGATAATTGGAATGTAAGACAAGAATTCTCATAAACAGTAGTCCAAAAATCTAAATATAAAAATTATATACATATATAATATATAATTTATATATGTATAGTAACACAATTTTAGATTCTGAGCGGAGCGATTGATTTTACCACGATGTGTGTTTTTATTTTTTTTTTTTGTGTCTGTCATCACGTTTTGGGGCAGTAAAAGTGCTTCGATTTTTTACTTCAGTACCTCGTTCGATGGTTCGATCAAAAAGTGAATCTAGTTGGTACTTTGGGGGGGTCAAAAGATAAATAATCAGGATAAACAAACTAAAAATTGAGGGGAAAACGGAAAATTTTACGCACAATCAATTTTCGACAAAATCAATTTTGGTTTTTGATGTAACATTAACAAATGACCATAGATACATGAAATTTTCACCAAATGTTTATATAAATATATTCTATCCCCAATGCAATTTTCAAAAAATTTTCGACTTAAGTTGAACTATTTATAGGCATATGAATTTTTCGATCATTATTAGTTTTTTTAATATAAATATCAATAAAAATCTATTTTTTGGGTAGAAGATCTTGAAAATTTATTACAAGGTTTTAAACATGTTGTTACAATATACGTTGAAAAATAAAATAAATTCATAGTCACAATCTTTTTTTTATAAGCATTTAAAGTTTGATTTTCGACAAAATACGTAAAAATTACGAAAATTCGTAAATTATTTTAAGCAAGAAAATTATAAAAAAATTTTTTTTTAAATCTAAGATTTGAAAATTTAATACAAGATTCCTAACAAGTTTGTAAATCTCAATCACAAAAAAAATGTTCACCGGAAATTCAAATTAAATTTTTATGATCATTTGAAATTTATATTTTTACAACATTTGATTTTCACTGGATTTCACATTTAGCGATTTTCTTATTTTGGTGTAACTCTAAAACAAATGACCGCAGATACATGAAATTTTAACTGAATATTTATATAGGCATTTTATGTATTTGATACAATTTTCAAAATATTTAGATTTGTTTTCAGTTGTTTACTGACATATTAATTTTTTTTTAACTTTTTTGGTTTTTATATTCTATAAATATCGATAAAAATTTATTTGTTGTGTAGAAAAGCTTGAACATTTAATACAAGGCTTCTATCACATATTAACAATAGCAGTTGAAAAATATATTAAAAATATTTAGGCATGATTTTTTTTTATAAGCATTTAAAGTTCAAATTTTGACTAAATACGGCAATATTCAAATTATCTTAGATAGAAATTCATAAAAATTTTTATTTTTAGAACTAAGATTTGAAAATTGAATACAAGGCTCCTAGCATATTTTTACAATATCAGTTGAAACATAAAATAAATATATAGTCACAATTTTTTTTTTATAAGCATTCAAATTTTGAATTTTGACAATATACGTAAAATTCATAAATTATTTTATGCTAGAAATTCATAAAAAATATTCTTTTTAACTCTAAGATTTGAAAAATTTTAATAATTTACAATATACCTATCCTAGACAGATAAATCGTTTCCGCTCAGAATCGTTTTTCGTATACAATGATATAATATCATTGGATTCAAATTTAATTCCATCCACTACGGTAACCCACTTGTAACTTACTGTACAGCAGAGCGATATCCACGACTTGCCCGCTTTTTTTTATGTAGACATTTTAAGTTCACATATTCAAACAAAGAATAACAATTTTAGTTTTGTGTTGTAAATTAAAAATACTATTCATGTCTTCACGGGAGCTTGGAACTTCTAAAATACGAGTATATATTATTATATTTTGTACACACAATAAACTTTCAAAATTCAAACTTTTCGGCAAAATTTAATTTAACCTACTATAGAACTACAATGACCAATAGTAAAATAAATTACTTACACAATAATATCATCTAATATACTTAGTAATATTAGACCAAAATTGTTATTTATAAATATTATACTTTTAAATCATTGAATTCAAATTTAACACATCTATTACAGTTACTCTATCTAGACACCTTATCCTTATGAACAGCACTCACTTAACCATTGTTATTTTTTTTTTTTTGTATTTAAGTGTTTGAATTATTGGAGCGTGGGGAAGTGATGCAAGTTCCTGGTGATCCTCCAATGTCTGAATCGAAAGCCAGGTCATACTTCAGGGATATTTTATTGGGCTTAGAATATTGTAAGTATTAATTAGTAATAATACTTAATAGGACGATAATTGTTCGTTTTTAAACACGTATATAGTATCATTCATAACAATAGCCAATATAGATTTGCCAATTCAGACATTTACCATTTATAAATAATTCAATATTTATAAAATACATTTTTATAACACGTTAGTATTTCGAGTATTTGTGACTATATCGTAAAATTTAAAATGTCAGTTACCTAACATTATGTAGAAATTTTTCGAAATAATGAGATGTTTATTGTAAATAAGACTCACAACTCAGCGTCATAATTTCGGGCACAACATATAATAATACGCCATAATATTATTTAATATTCAGCTTCTGTTTACAGTACACTTTCAGCGGATCGTACACAGGGACATCAAACCGTCGAACTTATTAATCGACGCTAGTGGGCACGTGAAAATCGCAGATTTGGGCGTGTGCAATGAGTTCGATGGAAGCGACGACCTGTTGAGTTCTAGTGCGGGCACACCGGCGTTTACGGCTCCTGAAGTGTTGGACCCGTCGACGAAAACGTACAGCGGTCGAGCGCTGGACGTATGGGCACTGGGATGCACATTGTACGCATTTGTCTACGGTCGGCTGCCGTACACCGCGGACTCGGTGCTAGCAGTGCACGAGCAGATCCGCACGCAACCGGTACAGTGGCCAGTCGAACCGGAAACGTCTCCACAACTGGTGCACCTGTTGCACCGTCTCCTTGACAAAGATCCAGATACCAGGATCACGTTACCAGCCGTCAAAAAGCATGACTGGGTGACAAGGGCTGGGGCTGAGACGCTGCCCACAGAGCGAGACAACTATTGCCAGCAGCCGGTTGAGGTCAGCGAAGAGGAAATGATGAACGTCATCAAGTCCATACCCAAGCTCAACACCCTGATACTGATCAAAGCTATGCTGAAGAATCATTCGTTCCTTGTGAGTATATACACGCGTATTATAATTAGAATGCGAATTTATATGACTTAAAAACCAACCTGCAAATATCCGATAAAAATATATACTAAAT